TTTATTTAATATTCTTAATTGTTTTTATTAAAAAACTGAAAATAATAATTTCAAATAGAGAATTGCAATTGTTGAAATGTATAAATAATTCTGAGCTACAAATCAATATATTTACATGGGAAAAAATGTAATATATTAGGTCATGACATTGCCAACCTTTATATAAGAGGAAAACTTTATTCATGTGTAGTCTGTGCAAGTCTTGGCAGGTAAAATTACTCATCAGCATAAATGTTCACAAGAATAGGCTCGAAATGAATTGTAAATAACTTACAAAGTATCTACCACACAAAAGAATTGCAGCATATCAGCGCCCACAGCTAATGCATTTCATTTACTGTAAAAGTTGTATCATGTGCTGCAATTTCACTATACCATTCAATTAGTATGAATGAAATGTATAGAAATTTATAAAATGTAGTAATGCTGACTTGGTGAAATTGTTTGACAATAATTGACTGTACTTTAGTCCCAGGCCTAATTATTCCATGATTATTTTTTAATAACCTATTTAATTAATAGCCCAACCCTTACAATAACTAAATAGTCTTTTACTGAGTCACGGTTCAATGGTGGATCTGAAACACAGGTTTTCTAAAATTCCTTTCAGTGAGATTCACTTTGTGAAGCTTTAGAAACCACAAAACCACTTAAAACGCTCATCCTTTAAAAGCTGTATCACACTTTAATAATATTTTAAGTGTGTATATTCTAGGATTCAGATATTCAAGTGTATTTGCAGGTTTAAAGTTGCAGCCGAGTGCCTGCAAGATAAACATACAGAAACCGGGTAGTTCTGAGAGACCCACTGACACCAGGGGAGCCAGGCATCTGGCCTACTTTTGAAAAATCTTTTTATGGTCCCAACAGCATCTTTAACACCTTTGAAAATCTGCTCTTGTGTCATTAATTATTGTGGTGGCTACCTAAAATGTGAACATTATAGAATACTACTTCTTTATTAGGGCTACGTGGCACTTTGCTGCTGTCCCAAGACCCAAGACCACAGGCATTTGTTACAAAAATCCACAAAATTTGAAACAGTAAAAATTGGTATTGCACTGCATTGGCATGGTATGAAGTCAACATTTAAAAAAACCCAAAACATACAGGTTCCTTAAAAAGAAGTTTGTAGCTTTGGCCAAGAGAGAAGGAAGACAGTATTTTTAATGAAACTGCTCTCAGTGATGCTCTAAGCATTTGCAGAAACAGTATTTTGCAAGAAGGTGCAACACTGAACATTTGTCTCTTTTCTACAACTGAGTAACCTGTCCACTTTAAAACCAAATTCAATTATGTAATCCCAATTTTCAATTTACAATAATTTGTCTGTGTTAGGTTGTTCCATCGTTGAATTACAAAATCCGAGCAAGAGAAGTTGGAGTTTTGCAATTTATAGTTATGACACTGCCATCGTGTTGTTTGCATTAGCATATGAAGGTACAAACATCCCTATGTTATAATGAAAAGAAACAAAGTTGCTATATTGACCTGAAATGACTTTTCCTACACTGAGAACTCACAAGCAATGACCTGTATATTGATTATCTTCTAGCAAGAAACATAGCAAGGAAAAGTACATGTTTCTCATAGATTTGATAGCTTTTACTTATTACTAGGCTATGCTCAATTAGTTTTTCAAATTGTTTCTGTCACATATATTGTTACATTGCATGTAATAGCTCCCTTTATCTTCAGCCTGTTCCAGTCTTACCAATGTACTTCACAAGAGAAGTGGTTCAGTTTCCTTGAATAAACATGGGATCTAACATTTTGGTCCTGCAATGACTTGATGGCTTTATTCTTTTGTATTTCTCCATGAGTGTCTTTTCATCCTCATCACAAAGGCAAAATTTCCCATGTTCACATTCAGACCTTGCATAGCTCTGTGCCTACATAAATCCTTGTTCCTTTTGCTAGCTTCTTGTTTTCTGTTTATGCGTCTCTGAGGCTTATCTTCTAAATACACCCATTACACTCTCGTGCAATACGTTCTCATGTTATTCCTTAGGCTTGCAGTTCTGTGCCTCTTATCATTCACACGTCTGTTTTAAATGTATTTATTTCATTAAACTTTAAAAAATAACCCATCATAAATATATCAGGCACTTTTAAACTGAGTTTATCTTTTAGCACGCTGCATATGATATGCCTGAAATGTAGTTTGTGTCTAATTTAAAGTACTGGAGGCAGAGAATCTGTTTCTTTATTGCTTGTGTTACTGCAGAGTTTAGGGGCTGTAACGGATCCCTTTGTAGTAGGTGTTGCACATACAGATCAAGAACAACAGCATTCTGTACAGTATACAGCTTCCACAGGGACCAGCTGTGAAAAATAATTAAAACAACACTATTCCCTCTCTCAGCCAGCAGTTATATGGATCTGCTGAAATTCTACAGACTTTCTGATCAGAGCTATTTTCAAAGTAGAACAACACTTTTACACAAAGTGCTTGCAAGCTGCATGTTTCTGTTAAATGTGGAGAATACAGCATGCAGCAGAGAAACCACAGCAGTGCTAGCACTGACACAGGCACAAGTGCACTTAGGCCTCATCTTTTTTTTAAAAAAATTTCAAATTCTCAATTTTCTTCAGTTTCATCCTATTTGTGAAATGATTTACACTTCAATAGAGGAGGAAGCATGTACAGTTTCTGTAGAAGCCTGAGAAGGCAGATGAAATAAAGACTTCTTGACAGACAAGAGGAATTTCTGGAAAGACTAAAAACATGTGCTGCCTGACCAAATGAAGTATTTCTTAACTCAGATATCCTGATTAGCAACTGAAAGAAACTAAGAACAGCTTGGAGAGACTTACGGAGATGAATAACGTAATAAAATGGGCACAGGGATGGTAATCAGAAGACAACACCCATATAGTTGCTTGTTGTGTTTATGTCAGTGTCCTGGTTTCGGCTGGGATAGAGTTAATTTTCTTCATAGTAGCTAGCATAGTGCTGTGTTTTGGATTCAGTACTAGAAGAATGTTGATAACACACTGATGTTTTCAGCTGTTGCCAAGTAGTGCTCAGACTACTCAAGGACTTTTTGAGCTTCTGCTGCTCGGCCAGGTGCATAACAAGCTGGGAGGGGGCACAGTCAGGACAGCTAACCCAAACTGACCAAAGAGCTATTCCATACCATAGAACGTCATGCTCGGGGGAGTTGGTGGGTTGGTCGGTGGCTCGGAGTGATCGTGGCTTGGGACAGGCTGGGCATCGGTCACCGGATGGTGAGCAATTGCGTTGTCCATCGTTCATTTTGTATATTCTGTGTATTCTGTTACCATTCTCATTATTACTATTATTATTACTTTCCCTTATTAAACTGTCTTTATCTCAGCCCACGGCTCTAACCTTTTTTTTTTCCTTCTTGATTCTCTCCCCCATCCCACTGAGGGAGGGGGGAGTGAGCAAGCGGCTGCGTGGTGCTTAGTTGCCAGCTGGGTTAAACCACGACAGTCTGTAATCAAGAGGATGTACCACCTGCAATCAAGTTTCAAACACAATACAATGTATCACTGATACTCTGAATTTCTGTTGAAAGCTGTAATAGAATAAATAATGCGATATAACCAATTAAAGGAATGTGTACCTGCAGGTTTAGGGTTCAATACTGTATCTTATTTTGTAAAAAATTACTTCACAGATGTTACATTAGACCATGTTAAAAATGTCCAAGAAAGGTTAACATGTAATTACAGACAGTTTATTCACAATAATTTTTACATAAAACCCGTTAGCTCTCACCCTTAAATGGAGTCTCTTCAGCCACAGTGACAGTTTTGCAGTGTTTTTGGGGGAACAGCGATGCAAAGCACTGCAGGGTTTGGGGAAAGAGCAGAGCTTTATTCCCCATTACAGAATCTGCTTTTTTAAAAAAAGAAAAGCTCTTGCTGTTTTCAAACGGTGATGCTGGAATCTGAATTGTGAGCTCAAGCTTTGAAAAGTAACAATGGTTTTTAACTCTTCTGAACCATCAACGTTCTTCTAACGGATTAAAATCCAGTTCATGAGGAATGTTTTCGTGTCACGTACGCACTAAACACACCCAACGCACGCAAGCTATCTCGGTGCGTTTCCCGAGCTCCGTTTTTGTAACATGTATTTGCAAAAATCCTGGCTTGCGGTGTTTTTACAGACCTGAAGCCAGCTGCGTGACGAGAGCTCTCCCGGCCCTGCGCCGCAGCTCCCATTAGAAGTTACGAGGCGGTTCCCCCAGCCCACAG